TAAAAATCTGTGTAGATCCCAGTCTCTCCAGGAGGCTTGGGTGGCATCTCTTCCCTTACCTCCAGGGGGTAGTGCAGATGTCCACTCTTCCAGCAAACTCAGCCTCTGCCCAAGTGGTGCACACCAGCGGGTATGTGCACCACGTCCCTCCAGTTCCTTGTCAGTTCTTGTTTACATGTCTGTTTAGATGAGTGAACTGAATAAAAGCTGATCCAGTTGTTTTATCCCCTCCTAATACTGCTACTCAGTTGCAGGTAGTCCAGGGACAGCTTTTTTCCCCTGCCAGCACATCCTTGCTCCTGGCTCTGCATCCATCTGGCACAGTGAGCTTCTCTTTTCCTTTCCTTTGGCTTGGAGGAAGTGTTTGCAGCCAGGCGACTGTGGTGCTTGCCCCAAGCAGAGGGGTGGATTACTCACAATGAACCCATGTGTCACAAGGTTGCTTCCCAGAGCTCTGGGGAAGGAGAGGACAGCAGGATTGTGCGTCCTGTGCTGTAAATAGTTCACTCCCACAGCTGACCAGTGGCCAGAGGCTGATGTGTGCTGGCTTCTCACCTAGACCTGGGAAGGCTGCTGGCTGGCTTATCACATGGAGCTCAGTGTGAGGGCTCCTGCCTTGAGGTGGTGCTCAGGCCACCGACTGATCTCCTGCCGCCTGCAGGCTCAGGTATGCTGCCTTCTGCACCCGCTGCTGCCTGCCAGACACTTCTCAGTCCTGTCTCCTCCCTTCCCCCCCCTCCTCCCGCTCCTCTCTGCCAGCCAGGTGCATCCATTTCAGCTTTGAAACCTACCTTGGCCTCTGCCATGGCCCCACTGCAATTAAACTGGACCACAGCCACTTACCTGCCGCCCCTGTGCGGGGCTAATGCAGCTGCAGCGGGCTCTCAGAGCAGTGGAGGAGCTCCCAGGCTCTGCAGCAGCAAAGCCTGCTCTTGGCTGCAGGCAAGCCTGGGCAGCTACTTAATTTCTCCCCCCTCTTCGAGTAGCCCATTTTGCTGATCATCTGCAGTGTCGTGCCAACAGTGTCTTAAATCCCATCATTTCCCTTCCCTCCTCCTCTCACAGCCTTGCATAACAAGGGCACAGACTCTTCCTTGCCCTCGGGTTCCTGTTTTATAACCATTGCCTTTTCCCTCCTTTCCACCCTGACCTTGCCAGGGTATGAAAATGCTTGTTTGATTTATTGTTTTGGTTTTTTTTAAATTCTGATTAATAAATATTAAAACCCCAGCCAGCATAAATTGGTACTGGTGTGGTCTCTCGCGGGGAGTAGGGGCAAGCGGCGCGGTGGTGGGGGGTTATTGCAGATGGGAGGAAGGGCGGGATGTGCCGTCTTGAGGATATGAGCGTGAAAGAGTGGCCTTTTCCCAGCGGGAACTGGCTGCGTCCCTGTGGCGCCGCACGTCTTCTGGGACAGGTAGCGTGGAGGGGATGCCGCTCTGTGTCGCTTTGCAGGAAGGCAGCGAGCCTGCCCGGGAGAGAGCACTTGGCTCTCTGGAGCGTCTTCGCAAGCGTTCCGCACTCCCCCGGCGTCCAGGTCTGTCAGAGCATCGCCCACCCGTCAGTTTGGTCCCTGCCCCTCACGCTTTGCCCCCAGCTCGGCCTGCCCTAAGGCTGCCCCAGCTTGGATCCCTACGGGTTCAAGCGGATCTGGGGACAGACAGACTCAACCCGAGGATAAGAATGGGGGCTCGACCCCAAACGAGGGGCGCCGCAGGGTGCTCCCACCTCTGCCGGCCCCTCCGCCGCCTTCTTTATCTGCCCCCCCCGCCCCGCTCCGCCTCGGGAGCGGCGTGACCTTAATCCGAAACGACCTTGGGAGGCAGCGGCTGCGGGGCGTGCGGGGCCGGGGGCGCCCCGGGGGCGGGGGGCCGGGGGAGGGCCCGCTCGCTGCCCAGGCGCTGCCGAGGGGCGGGCGGCCCCGGCTCCGTGCGGCTGCTGGCGGCAGAGCACCGGCGGAGCTGAGCGCGGCGGAGCGGCAGCGGAGAGCGGGTACGGACCGGGCGTCCTGCGGAGGGGAGGGGCGACGGCGGGTGCGGGGCTGCGACCTCCAGGTTCTGGGACCCCCTCTCTCGGGCTGCGGTGCCCCGGAGCGGCTGCACGGTTGGGGTGGCGCGGGACAGAAGTGCCGGCGGTTTTGTCTCCTTTGCCATAAGGTGTGATTTGTCCCCTGAGCCCCAAATTCCTTGCCGCCCGATCCCCGAGCCCCTTGTCTGTTCCTCGCCTCGCCTCCAAGCCCTTCTGCCCCCCGTCAGCTGCCGGCTGGGCAAAGCTCTAGACAAGGGCGGTTTGTAAGCACACCGGGGCAGCGAGGTGTGGGGAGTGTCTGAAGGGGGGTGAGGGGTCATCCGTCCCTGTTCTGGCACGCTCACCTGTATGGCGGCATTTTATTCTGCCGGGCGACTCTGCACTGGAGCGGCTGGGGGCTGCTCACACTCACTGTCCCTCCAGCTCTGCTGGGGCCTGTCACCACCAGGAGAGACGCTGCGGTGGCTCAGAGTGTGCTGGGCTAGCTGGGGCTGTTCTGGCAGCAGGCAGCTGCCCTGCGGGAAACTCTCGGCTTGGGTTTCTGCAACCCTGGCTCTCCTCCCGCTTGGCTCAACAATGTAATTCAGACTGGGGCAAGGGCGTCTGCATGGGGCCAGACTGTGAGGGGCTCATGGCGTCCCTTGCACAACAAGAGAGAGTAGAACAGATGTGTCCTTGCACCCAAATGCTCTTCCTTGTGCTTCCTTGTGCTTCATTGGATTGGAAGGGATCATTCCTTCTTTGCTGCATTTGTGGGGAAGGCACTGCTCCATGGTTGGGACTTGGGAGCCTGGCAGGGCTGGCACTGGGGGAAAAATTGAGCTCCAAACTCTCAGTGTGGTTAATGGGCCCAAGGGCTATGGGCTGCCCCTTTGCATGCTGCCACCTTGTACACATGCATGGCAGGGTGCCAAGAGCACAGAACTGTTGGTGGCACTGAGCCCATCTTTGTCCCCGTCCAGCATGTCTCCCTGCTTCTCCAGTTCTGGTGCCACCCCAGCTTCCCTAAGACATGCCCATCTCCCTCATCTGCTGCGGCACAGGGGCTGCAGAGCTGCTGAGCACCTGGAGCTATGGCCCTGTGAAGTGGCTGTGCCAGGCTGGGTGTTGCTGGAAAACAGGAGGGTGCAATCCGATGGGTGACTGGAGTTGTTCCCCCTGGTTCCCTGAGGGCCATGGGGTGCAAGGGATGAGAGCACACTGTGTGGGGGTGGATGTGGGGCACTCCTGGAGCTGTGCTAGCCAGCATCAGGGCACCAACTCTGAAGGGCACAAGAGAAGCACAGGGCTTCCCCCCATTTTTGGGTGCGGACACTCCTGAGCCAAGTGGGTCAGTGCCCTGTGGGTTGGATGTGGGGGGATACGGGCACTGCAGCAAGTCCTTGCAGTCTGAGCCTTGCAAGGACCAGTGTTGGGAAAGCACAGCCCCAGCACTGGGCACTAGTGGAAGGCATTTGGGATGGCACCCCAGCTACTCCCTGTCTCCAGCAACATGTGAGGCCCACAGAAGCGGACAGATGATCCCTATGTGCCCTATAGACAGCCAAATAGCCACAGCTTGCTCCATGACAGGGGTGTCTTGCAAGAGCAGGGCCACAGCCCTGAGCAGTGCTGTTCTGCCTTGCTGAGCCACACGGAACAGGAGATGGCTGCTGTCTGGCCTGAGAGCCCACAAGGGTCTGGCAGTTGGGCTTGGCAGCTGCCTGCACGCTGACGGCACCGGCTATTCCCAGCCCTGCACGACCGGTGCCTGTGCTGAGTCAGGGACCTAGGGCACAGCTGCCACCCCTGCACCCTGGCACAGAGCCCTTTGCTTCCAGGGACCCTGGGTCCCCTCCTGCACCCAAATCCCAGCCCACCAGCTGTGGCATCCGCTCCTCCAGGGCCCAGCTCCAGCACCTGGGTGATAGGCACATCCAGTGATTTGTCAGCGTAATTAAAGTCTCAACAGCCTAATCAAAGCCTCATTGTCCAGTAGTATTTATAGTCCCTCTCACTGCCATGTGTTCCCTGTACAGCTGCCGGTGCAGTCACTGCCTGGGGTGCTGGTATTCCCTGGGGAGAAGAAGCTGTAGGAGCTGAGGGTCATTGCTCTTCCTTGCTGTCACAGCTGTGCCTCTCCCTTACTTTCAACTTTGCTGGTTGGAGTTGTTTCCTAGGTGCTGGAGGTGTTCTTGGGCACTGCCAGAGCAGTTTTCCTCATTTCAGGGGCTGCTTCTTACCTGAGAGCAGCAGGGCTCTAGTACCCGCTGGGCTGTGGGGCGTCAGCGCTGGCAAGTTTTTCTGTTTTCCACCAACACCTTTTGAGCTCCAGCTTCCCGGTAACACAGATTAATATTGCATGAGTATGGCGGTGTGAACTCGACACTTAAGGAATGCAATGACCCAGCAGGAGACAGACACAGGTGCACTCAGATGCAGGCAGGGGCACACACACCTTGCACACACGTGGGTATGGCTGGAGCCCACTCGGCGGAACCTTGGCACAGCATGAGGGTCTGACCTTGCTTCCCCCAGCCACCTTCTCTCTTCTCTCCCCAGCAGCTGCCAGCGTGGAGAAGGCAGAGCTATGGCATCGCTGCTGTGCAACGCCCGTGAGTGCCCCAGTGGAGGATGGGTGCAGGGCAGGGCATTGGGCCATCTGGATTTATGCCGAGGCAAATCTGGCTTCTGGGTTGGGCTCACCTTGCTGCACTCAGAAGCATACCTACCTACCATGGCCATTGGGATCTGGGCTTGGAAGCACCATGGGTGGATGGGAAGGGTTGATGGGGAATTACCCTGTGCACCTCTTGTGGTGAAGGGTGTTTGTTTCTGGTTTGTCCCTCCTCCCTAACGGCTTGAGGGATCATGTGTGACCCCAGAGATGAGAGGAAGCAAAGTACCAGGGTGCAGCACCTGGATACCCCCACCCTCAGTGATGCAGGCCGTGCTGCCCCCAGGCATCCAGCTCACAGACACGCTGGAGCAGATGCAGCAGGGGACTCTGATGCGTAAAGTCAAGTCCAAGAGCTGGAAGAAGCAGCGTTACTTCAAGCTGCAGGAAGACTGCATGACCATCTGGTACCAGTCCAAGAGGACAGGCAAAACTGAGTCTGCCTGTGAGTACCAACTGCTGTGTGTTGGCCATGAGGCCATCAGTAGGTTTTAAGAGTGAACAGGGATGTGAAGGTATGGAGATTCTTTGGCCATGCTTGCTAAGGGTGCTGGGGGATTGAAGAAAGGCTCTGCATGCATGTGTGATCTCTTCTCACCCACACCTCTCCATGAAATATCCTGCCCCCAGCAGGACCCATGGGTCAAAAGGGCTGAGTAGAAATTGCAGCTGATACAAATGGAACCTCTGGAATTCCAGTGCAGAAGTAAGCAGACAGAGGGGCAGATGGATGACTGGCTGACCTGATAGTTCAGTGGTTAATGGATAGATATCTAGCTCAGTGGATGGATGGATGGATGGATGGATGGATGGATGGATGGATGGATGGATGGATGGATGGATGGATGGATGGATGGATGGATGGAGTGAAAGAAGGAATGACTGGAAGATGTCTGTGGGCGGTGCCCCTTGCCCTGTGGTCCTTGTCTCCTACAGACAGGCCTCCCCTCCCTCTGCCCCAGTCTCCATCAGCGATGTGGAGACGGTGCGGGAAGGGCACCAGTCGGAGGTGCTGCAGAGTGTGGCTGAGGAGTTCCCTCCTGAGCGCTGCTTCACCATTGTCTTCTACGGCCGTCGTGGCAACCTGGACCTTGTTGCTGGCTCAGCAGAGGAGGCACAGTGCTGGGTACAGGGCCTACGTCAGCTCATCGAGGTGGCCACCACCATGGACCAAAGGGAGAAGATAGACCAATATCCTTCCTGAGAGCACCACTCTGTCCCCTACGCCCATTGCTGATCGCCCCCCAGGCCCTGTATCTTCAGCCTTACCCCAGCATGTGTGTAGCTGTTATGGGTCTCACCATCTGCAGCAGTGCAGGGCACAGGAAAAGGAAAAGATGCCCTCTGATACTACCCAGCCCCTTTTCTCATAGTCAAGGTCCTTTCCCTTAACATTTGCCCTGGTTTCCCGCACGTGGATTCGTGACTGGTTCCAGAAAGCTGACAAGGATAAGGATGGGCGCATGAACTTTAAGGAGGTGCAGCGTCTCCTGAAGATGATGAACGTGGACATGAATGAGGATCATGCCCTGCGGCTCTTCCAGGTAAGCACTGCACCTGAGAGCCTGGTGGGATTGGAGAGGGTCTGGAGGGACTGGAACAAGCTGTACAATACCTCCTTGCAAAAGGAGGACACTTTCATCCATCCATCCATCCATCCATCCATCCATCCATCCATCCATCCATCCATCCATCCATCCATCTGCCCATTCATCTGTTCCCTCATTGATCAATGCCTGCCACTGTAACTGGTGTGGAATCTCTGTGCCCTCTCTTTGAGGTGGGAGAATCCTCCCACAGCCACTTTGGTGGCCAAGACACCCTGTTTTGCCCCATCTGGATGCTGAGGGAGCTCCCTTGCAAACAGGATGCTGACAAGTCAGAGTCGGGGACACTGGAAGGGGAGGAATTTGTACTCTTCTACAAGGCTCTCACGCAGCGTGAGGAGGTGCTGAGCCTCTTCCGGGAATACTCTGAGGATGGAAAGAAGCTGACACTGCTGGAGCTCGTGGATTTCCTGCGGGAGGAGCAGCTGGAGGATGAGGGCACAGAGGAGTTGGCCATGGAGCTCATTGACAAGTATGAACCATCAGAGACAGGTGAGAGCGGGCTCAGACATCAGCTGTGCTCTGCTTGGGGGCAAGGAAGGGTCACAAACTCACAGTCCCATGGTGGAAGCGTTCCCAGCCCCAGCCTGGTATAAACAGGCACAAGAGGAAGACTCACAAGGTGTGATCCGGGTGCAGTTCTCCTTTATTTGGTCCATTCCTGGACCATTTTGGTGTAGAAGGTTGACCACCCATGGCGTGCAAGCACCAACTTTGGGATCCACTGCCCACCTTTCCAAAGTTACTGCCCTGCTGCATCTTTCTATTCCCCAGACTCTGGCAGCAGCTGTGACCATCAGTTTAGGGATTCTGGGAGCCTCAAGCAGCCCTGTTTGTCCCCATTCTGTCTCTTCCATGTCCCTGGCTGTTGCTGAACCTCCCCCTGTGCCTGCAGCCCGGGCCCGCCATGTGCTGAGTGTTGATGGGTTCCTCATGTACCTCTGCTCCCCGGAGGGCTCCATCTTCAACCCCCAGCACCGGGGGCTGTGGCAGGACATGAGCCAGCCACTCTGCCACTACTTCATCTCCTCCTCCCACAACACCTACCTGATAGAGGATCAGATCCGGGGCCACAGCAGCATCGAGGGCTACATCAGGTAAAGGCACTGCTCCCTTCCACATGCCCTCCAACACCCTCCCACCCCAGTGCCATGTCCTGAGCAGCTCCATAGGGTAAACCCCAGAAGCTCCTTTGCTCCTCTGTGGTCCAGCAATCCTCTGGCCATGCCCTGCATGCAGCAGCATCCCCACCCTTGGTGGGTGTCCCCTGGTCCCTCAGGGGTGACATGGGCAGAGGGGAGGGCAGGGAGCTGGTGCCCTGGATGAGCGCAGGGTTCCAGGGGTGACAACCCACCCCCAGGGCTCTGAAACGAGGCTGCCGGTGCCTGGAGGTGGATTGCTGGGACGGGCCAAACGGGGAGCCCATGGTGTACCATGGCCACACCTTCACCTCCAAGATCCCCTTCCGGGAGGTGGTGAGCACCCTGGGGAAGTACGCCTTCAAGGTAAAGCACCCTTCCCCAGGTGCTGGTGGTTGTGGGTGGTCCTTGGTGGGTGAAGCTACATGGCAGTGGTGGGTCCCTGGAGGGGGAGTGGTACTGAGGTTCCTGGTGATGTAGCAGGACAGCAGGACTGGTCACACTGCGGGGAGGAGGGTGGCTGTGTCACTTTCAGGGGGATAGTACTGGGGGTCTGATCTACAGCCTGCACTGTGCTGTGCCAGGAGTTGGGGGCTCATGCAGACATGGACTGTTGGGGGTGCAGAGGTGAGATGGGATGTGGGGGATACTGGGGGATTGGAGGGGTATGGAGGTTCTCAGAGGTGAAAGACACAAGGGGCTCCATCCTGGCACTGATCACGCCTGGATGAAGCCCTCGTGAGAGCTCACCAGCCCCACCAAGGCTTATTTCCAGGTGTGCATGTTGTTCATCAGACCTCGGACTACCCGGTGATCCTGTCCCTAGAGAACCACTGCAGCATGGAGCAGCAGGAGGTCCTGGCCCAGCAGCTCAAGGACATCCTGGGGGAACAGCTCCTCACCACTACCATCGATGGGCATGTCCCCACCCAGCTCCCATCCCCAGAGGTATGGGCAGAGCACAGCTGTGCAGGGCATCTCTGTCCTGCCTGAGAGTGGATCTGCTGTTCAGAGAATGGGCCAACCTGTTTCAGTATTCTCCTGCTCCACTGGAGCATTTGAGGACACTGGGGGTGGGTCCTGTGTCCTCATGTTCACAGAAGTGCCAAGGCTGTCCCCACCCATGTCCTGCAGAACAAGACAAAACCCCCCCTACCCCATCCCCTTCTGAGTACTGATGGGAGCTGGTTGTGCTGGCCTCCAGCAGTGCAGGATCCCAGGGCACAAGGCACTGGGTAGCTCAAGGTGCTTCTCTGTCCTCAACCCTACAGGAGCTGAAGCACAAGATCTTGCTGAAGGGGAAGAAGATTGGGCGGCTGGAGGACACCCTGGATGGGCCAGGGGATGAGGTGCCTGAGGTGTCTGACGATGACAATGGGGCAGAGGCAGAGGAGGAGAGGCGGAGGGCAAAGGTAAGTGGGACCAGGCTGGGGACCAGCTGGGAGAGCTGAGCTCCTGGACACAGCTATGAGCTGTGGTGACATCTTACTGCATAGAGGAGAGACAGAGACTGCAGAGACATCACCAGGCAGGGAGGACAGCCTTTTCTGCCCCTGGCCATGCCAGCCCTCTCTTTGTTGTGGTGGCACACACTGGAGGTCCCCTGCTTGCTCTATTCCTGGCAGGAATACTGCTCATAGTAGGGATGCTGCCACCCACCAGCACACCCTCGGCTGCTCTTACCTGCCTTGGCTCTACAGCCCCTGGCCTGGGTGAGTGCTGGTGGATGGTGCTCCCATCAGGAGGGACCCAACATGGCTCTGCCTTGCAGAAGGACAAGGAGACCTTGGCACAAGCATTGTCTGACTGTGTCATCTACTGCAAGAATGTGCCCTTCCGGGGCTTCCAGGAGGCCCGCAGCCATTCCCGGCCCTCTGAGATCTCCTCCCTTTCTGAAGCCAAGGCCAGGAAGCTCATCCGGGATGAAGGTGAGATGAGTGGCAGTGGCACCAGGTGACTGGGACAGAGTAGAGGGGGCTGATGGCTTCCTCGTGGGGAGCCAAAGCCTCCAGACATTGGGGTTCCCTTCCTGTCTGGGAGAAACAGGGTCCAGTAGGGCTGTACTGTGGGTTTGGCTCTGCTAGATGATGAGGTTATTGGCTTAGAAAACAAGGCAGGACATCTGGATGCCTGAGCAGGGAGAGGGATGAGAATTGGTGTTTAGATAGATAGATGGATGATGGATGGATGGATGGATGGATGGATGGATGGAGAGTACATGTGGGTGACCGTATAGGCCAGAGAATGACCCCACAAGTGGGCCTCCTGCTCTATCCCTAGGAAATGAGTTTGTTCGCCACAATGCCTGGCAGCTGACACGCATCTACCCCAGTGGGATGAGGACTGACTCCTCCAACTACAGCCCCCAGGAGATGTGGAACGTGGGGTGCCAGATCGGTATGGCCAGGGTGCAGCAGGGCTGTGGGCTGGGGAGATGCCCCAAGTCCTGTGCTAAATGCCACCCTCAACACCTGTGTTAGTGCCAGCTACAACTCCATCTGGAGCCAGGTCAGGTTGCTGGCTCTTGCAGTGCCCTGGGGGTGTTCAAGCATTATCACCCTATTCCCCTATGCAACTCCACATCTCTGGCTATGGGGACAGGCTGGTTTTCAGCTCAAAGCAGAGTATTGTATCTCTAAGCTGTTCTGAACCCTTTTCCTTGCCACCTCCCTCCAGTGGCCTTGAACTTCCAGACAGCTGGAATGGAGATGGACCTGTGTGACGGACTCTTCAGCCAGAATGGCCACTGTGGCTATGTGCTCAAACCACCCTTCATGAGGGACAAGGAGACTCTCTTCAACCCCAGTGACCCCAGGAGCTGGGAAGGCCCTGGCCCCATCACCCTGACAATCCAGGTACAGGGCTGTAGAGAGACCGTGGGGAAGCTGTAACACTGTCTTGGGGTTCTGCTGGTCCCAGACAGATGTGGACACTGTTGGAGCCAAGTAGCCTCACAAAAGATAGATTTGGCCCTGCAGGTAATCAGTGGGCAGCAGCTGCCCAAAGTGGCCAACAGCAAGGAGGGAGCCATCATTGACCCACTGGTGCGTGTGGAGATCTATGGGGTCCCCGCGGACCAGGCGCACCAGGAGACCAAGTACATCGAGAACAATGGTGAGACCCACAGCGGTACCAGGGCCCCTGCTGTGCCCAGGCACAGTCCCTGCTGTCCTGCACTCTCTCAGCACCTGCTCTCTCTTCCCAGGGTTTAACCCCTGCTGGGATGAGACACTGCAGTTTCAGCTCCACGTACCTGAGCTGGCCCTCGTTCGCTTTGTGGTGGAGGATTATGACAAGACTTCCAGGAATGACTTTGTGGGTCAGTTCACCCTAGCATTTGCCAACATCAAACCTGGTGAGTGGCTGCTACCCAGTGGTTTTGGGCACCCAGAACAGCCCTGCAAGCATGTCTGGGACTCAGCTGGATACTAAAGAGGAGGGTGGGATTCCAGTTAGCCAGAACCTTGCTGTCCTTCCTGCAGGATATCGGCACATCCATCTCCTCTCAAAGGATGGCACCAGCATCCCACCCTCTTCGCTCTTTGTCCACATCCGCATCACTGAGCCACCTGGCCCTGAGCAGGACTGAGCTCGTGCGGTGAGCAGCACCCAGATGGAAGCCATAGAGCCAGCACCAAGTAGCTGGGGCCACAGAGCCAACCACCTTGCCCTCTTGTTGAGCTGTTTCTGTCATCCCTGTGTCATTGTTGCTGCTGTGATTCCCTTTGCAGTAGCTTCCGAGGGCTGGGAAAAAGCACTGACCTCCCCTTTCCAGGTTCAGGATGCTGCTGCCCATGCATGAGTGTGGGGTCTATGCCACTGCAGCTCCCTGCACCCTCCACAGGCACCCTGCCCTGGCCCACGTTGACTGTGGGGAGGAAGCGAGATGGTGTGTGGCCCAGCTCTGCTGCAGGGGCTGGTCCCCTCCCAGTCAGGGGAGCAAGGCTGGAGCTGAGCAAACCCCAGGGCTGGGCACGGCTGGGAGTAGAGTTGGTCCTTACTGCCCCCTAACCCTGCAGAGCCTCATCACATCCCTTGGTCCCTACAGCCCCAAATTAACCCTTACCCCATCCTTTCTCTGTAAGCAACTTAATAAATTGTTCAGTGACAAACAGCTTCGGGTCCGGGTGCAATAGTGCCGGGGAGAGATGAAGAGCTGAGCTTGGGTTTGTGCTCCTTCCCTGTGGGCACCTGGCCCACTGTTCACACGGGAGTTCCAAGCAGCACAAAGAAACGGTATTAAAAGGAACTGAGCAATTCCTTTTATACAGTTGTGTATTTTACAACCCATATACATATATGCCTGTATATACACATATACATCTCTGCAGCACATCAGTGCCACCAGTGCCTTAAAGCAGTTGGGATGCAGCCTCACTGTGATGTGCCATCGTTCTCTACGGGGCACTCTCCTTCCTCCTCCATCCTGGGGGCCTCCTTGGCTTGGGTCTCCCTCTGCACACTGTGAAGGTGGACGGTGTGTGTGCTGGGGTCCTTTCCCACGCCCTGGCTAGGGTCAACAGCCCTGTGCTCAGGGTGATGCCTCTGGATGTGTTTGATGACCTGGAACTTCTGCTTGGCCTTGTAGGGGCAGTAGCGGCAGAAGAAGGGGTGCTCGTTGGTGTGGGTCAGGTAGTGGTGGCGCAGGCCAGCTGCCCAGCGGAAAGCCCGCCCGCAGGCGTTGCACACGTAGGGCTTCTCCTCGCTGTGCTTCTTCAGGTGAGTCTTGAGGAGAAAGTGTGTCTTGAAGGCCTTGCCACACTGCTCACAGATGAAGGAACGAGCCTCCTGGTGCCGCGTCTCCTTGTGCACCCGCAGGGCATCCGCGCGGTTGGTGCAGTACTCGCACTCGTCGCAGCGGTACGGCTTCAGGCCTGTGGCGACAGGGAAGGGGATGGCACTGGGATGGGGGCACCGTGCTCTCCAGTCCACGGATCTCTCCATCCCTGTAACAGAGCATAAGCCCCCAGGGACTTCCCCCTAATCCCAGCTTGTTAGCGGGCACACCAAGATCCCCATTTCCAAGGCACCAAATAGTGCCCGGGGTCTGTGGCACCCACACTTCCCTCCCACTTAAGAACACTGCCCCCACCCCATTAGCACAGGATAATGTGCTAATGCCCTAAATGTCCTCCTCTGTCTCTAGCTGGGCCACTGGCAGAAAAAGAAGCATGGAGCAGCCCCAACACCCTCCCCGGCGCTTGACAGCTTGTCCTCAGTGGGCAGCACTCACCCGTGTGCTTTGTCATGTGGTACTTGAGCTGGTTCACCCACTTGCATTTGTAGCCACAGTCAGGGCAGAGATATTTCCTCTCCTCCTTGTGGATCCGCATGTGATACTGAGCAGGAGGAGAGGGTCAGGATGAGACCATGTCCCCAGCCCTCGGGATGTGCAGGGCTTTGGGGTGGTAGTGAGAGGCTCACAGACAGTTCTGACATCTCCAGCTGCATGGGACAAGGAGGGCTGTGTGCTTGCTTGGCAGTTTATGAGCAAGGGGAATCCGCACCAGGGTCGGGATGAGATTCCTCTACTGCTGAGGTGCTCTGGCCCAGCCTGTGGATGGCACAGGCTTTGCTCCCCAGTTTGATATGTAAGGCAGAGTCAAATGGAAAAGCCAACCCAACAGAGCTAAGCACATTACACAGCCTGTCCCAGGGGTCCCAGGAGGCTCCAGCACAGCCTGGCCATTAAAAAAGTCAATACTTCTTTTAGCAAAACCAGACTATTTCTCCCTCCATTACCCTATGCCTCCATCAGCCACGCATTTCCTGTTCTAGGAAAAGCCCTTTACCATGCATCAAGATGCTAATCACCTACAGCAACGAGGGCAGGGTCACACTCTACTTCCAAGAAAGCTAGAGGTTTCCCTGCACCGTGTCTAACTGGCACCACAGAGTATGCTGAAGCCAGCAAGCAGCCAAACTTGGCTTTGAATGGTGCAAAGCTGCACCCAGAGAAAGCCAGAGATGTCAGCAAGAAAAGAAGTGAACTTAAGACTGCTGCCACCTTCTTGCTTTGTTAAAAGTCTCCCTTACCCTTAAAATGCAACAGCAGAGAAGAAATGTATTGTACTGACATGATTTTTATCTGCTTGACTCCTATTTCTGTTCAGTATGAGCCACTGAACACTGAAGATGTAACCACCCCTTAGGAACTTCTTCCCCAAATCCCTGTGGCTGGATACCCCTCAAGCAATGTAGAAGGAGCAGGATACATTCCCAAGCAGAGCTCTTACCTTGAGACGTGAGGGGTCAGCGCAGGCATATTTACAGAGGTGGCACTTGTAAGGCTTCTCACCAGTGTGGATGCGGATGTGCCACGTGATCTTTTGCCTGTTCTTGGTGGTGTACTCACAGTCCGAGCACTTGTACACGCGGGTGCCCCCATGGCCCTTCATATGCTGATCAAACACAAGCTGGTGCTGGCAGGCAAAGTCACAGAAAGGGCAGTGCAGGGGTTTGTCCTGGGGGGCAGCCGGCTCATGGCTCTCCATGTAATGCCGCACCAGCTGCTGCCGCTCCTTGGCTGCAAAGCTGCACAGCTCACAGCGGTGGCTGAAATGCTGCGTCTTGTGCTCCTCCAGTGCCTCCCGGGTGGCAAAGGTCTCCTTGCAGGTGCTGCACTCCAGGTGTGGGTGCTGCTTCTGCACGTGGCACTTGAGCGTGGCCTCACTGTGACACACGAAGTCACAGCGTGGGCAGCTGTAGGAAACCTTCTCCTCGTGCCGTCGCAGGACGTGCTGCTTGAGGGCCGTCTCGGAACTGAAGCGAGCCTCACAGCGGGAGCAGCCGAAGTTGAGCTCGCCGTGGTGGCAGCTGTTGACGTGGCGGGTGATGTCATTCTGCAGGTAGCTGCTGTAGTCGCAGAGCGGGCAGAAATGGGTGGGCGTCTTCTCATGCACGCGCAGGCGGTGGATGCGCAGCTTGGAGTTGGTGCCGAAGGTCTGGCTGCAGATGCCGCAGGCGATGCGCCCCACGCCGGTGTGCAGGGACTGGTGGGCCTCCAGGCGGTAGCGTCGCGTGGTGCTGAACTCGCAGTAGCGGCACTTGTGTGGCTTCACCCCCTCGTGCTTGATGCGGATGTGCTGCCGCAGGCACCGGGCCTGCTTGCAGGTGAACTCGCACTGGCGGCACTGCAGCTGTGGCCGCTTGCTGTAATGCTTGCGGTGCAGCCTGCGGTGCAGCCGCAGGGCTTTGGCCACCTTGGAGGTGAAGGGGCAGGAGGTGCAGCGAAACTCACCCAGGGTAACACAGCCCCTCTTCTTGTGAGTCTTCATGGCCCGTTCCTGGTGGCAGGTGAAGGGGCAGGTGGGGCAGGAGAAACGCCTCCTCTTGGGCAGGGTGGCTTTTGGTGGGGCTGCATCCAGTGGGAGCTCACTGGTCTGGTCTTTCTCAACATTGAGTGGGTCCCCCTCAGGGAGTTCGGTCCTTTGGGGTTCGTCCTCAGGATGCACGATGTGCTTTTCAGCACAATGACTCTTGAGGGCCCGCCGGGAGCGGAAGGTTTCAGGGCACTGGGAGCACCAGAACTGCTCCAGGTTCCGGCAGCCATCCTCCACGTGGGAGGTGATGGTGGTGACACGGGAGCACACAAAGGAGCAGGCATTGCAGTGCAGCTTTCCTCCCTCCAGTCGGTATTTCTCTGAGGGTTTCCCAGGCTGGGAGGCACCAGCAGCTCCACCTGGCTCAGTCCCACCCCCTTGCTGGGGAGGCTCCTCTGCCACCTCTGTGCTATCACCCAGTAGGGATTTCTCAGAGGCATGACAGCCTGATGTCTGTGCCCCAGCCAAAGGAATGCCTGCTGCTTGTGTTTTATCAGGTAGCAGTTCAGCTTCCCAAGGGCTCTCAGCATGCCCAGACTCCTCTGAGCCTCCCTTCTCGCTCTCTGCTGTTTCTGTACCGTTATCACCAGGCTGGTCAGCAGGCTGGCACAGTCCAGGTGCCTCCTGATTGGTTGGTTTGAGGATCTTGTTCTTCAGAAGAACAGGGCATTTCTTTAGGAGGTGTGTGTTGAGTCCCCTCTGCTGCTTAAAGCTGGCACCACACTCACGGCACACGAGCGGGGCCCGGCGGCTCTGGCAGCTGGCTTTGGAGTGCAGGGACATGGATTTCTCCTTCCGTGTGATGTACGAACACTTCTCACACTTAAAGACCTGGCTCTCCGACTGCACCACCAGCATCTGCACCCTGCCCTCCAGCACCAGTGTCTCTGCCTGCTCTTTGTCCTGCTTCCGCAGAGCCTTCAGCTCTGACTCTGAGCCGCCCCTGGCATTGTCACCAGAGGTGGGCACATCCTCTGGGACAGGCAGGTGGCCCTGTTCAGGTGTCTTCAGCATGCTGAGCCAGGCCTCTGGCAGCTTGGCTTGGCTGGTCTCTCTCTCCTCAGTGTCTGCCATGACCTTGTGGTGGTCTGAGCATGACCCCTCAAGGTGGCCCATGTCCTGCTTTAGGGTGTCTTTTCCCTGGTTGTCTCCTGCTGCTATACTGCCCTTCACCACCTTGTCTTCCTGTACATCTACCTCTTCCTCAAAGTCTGGGATGTCTTCAAGTGTATTGCCACTGTCCTCCAAGCCAAGGCCATCCTGGGAGCCCAGCAACTCATAGGCTCCAGGAGGCTCCTTGCAGGACAGCATTTCCACACTCTCTGGCTGGGTCACACAGGCTTGTCCAGTCAAGTTCTCCAGGATAGGGTCAGATGAGACATTCAGTGCCTCCAAGTGCAAGGTGCAGCTCTCTGCCACATCTTCAGAAACAGTGAGCTCAGTAGAGCCTGTGGCAGCATTTCCTCGCACACAGTCATCTTCCAGGGCATTGCCAACAATAGGACAGCTCTGCTCTCCCTCGCCTCTCTCTGCCTTGCTGCTGCTCTCCGGTGGAGCAGCATCCTGCTCAAGGAGGGGCATCATGAACACTTGCTGGTAGCTTTCTTCTCCCTGAGACTCCACCTGGGATGGCGTCTCCTTCATCCACTGCTCCTTGCCAGTGAGGGGGGAACTGGCATCCACATGCAGGGCTGCACTGACCTCATAGCCAAAGAGTGCCTCAGATGAGCTGATCTCCAGCTCCTTGCTGGCGTAATTTTCCAGCCAGTCCTTGTCACCAGGAACGTAGCCA